CAGATTTATTCCCGCTTTGCACAGATCTAGCCCCGCTTTCCCTCCATTTAGCCCCAAAAAGCCGCTGCCCGCCGGCGATGTCCGGGTTTATCCAGCCGCTCCCATCCTCTCTCCTCCAATGCCCCCTTTTCCCCCTTTCCATCCAGCAGTGCGGGTGCCCGGCCCGAATTTGGGAATCCGTGGTGGAGCTGCTGCCCCGCGCCGAGCTGGGCACAGGGAGCGATGCCCAAAATTCTCAGTTTTTTCCTGAGGATGGCTCTGAGGAGGTGTTTCATGCCGAAATAAACCAGGAAAAGTTTTAAGCACCCAAGCGCTCGTCTGAAATAAACTTCTGAGTGGAGTGAGGAATCCTCTGGGTTAAAATCAAAGCTTGTCCTGGGTTCTGCTGGAATTAGAACTGTCTTGGGCTGTGGGACACGAGGTTGGATTATTTGGGGAAGTCAAGACACAAATCAGGTGACAGCTGTAAATAAAAGATGTTTATTGACCACATTGAACACTTTATTTATTTATATATATATATATATATGTTTTCTATTCCAGCACGTTTTTCAGTGTGAAGCCCTTTCCCCTCCTCTCCCACCATTGCTGCCTTTATTTCCTTTTTTAGAAGGAATTAAATTAATCCAGCAGCCTGCTGGATGATCCCAAAGGAGTCAAAAGGGAATCACCTCCTCAGCCAGCCCACACTCACAGCCTAGTGCATGGCTGTGGGGCTGCAAAACATCCTGGTGCTGCTGAATATTCCCAAAATCGGGGAAATTGTTTGGAAATCTGGCTGGCCCAGAGATTTTGTCCTGCCACAAGTCCAGAAAAAAGTTCCCTGAGGAAGGGATTTGGGCTGAAATTTGGATTTATCCACTGGCTTGGGCTTATCCACTGCCGCTCCATACAGACATTAATTGGAATTAATTGTTGTAAAACTTTTCCATTATGGTTTTCCTCTTGGGAAGGAAACAGTGCTGTTTTGGGATTTTGGGGGGGCTTTGTCTATTATTTTTTGTCAACTAGGGTGTGATTTTTTAAAATGTTAAATAGGATAAATTTGGGTGGAAATGATGACCCAAAGAGCCAGGAAATGTTTTCCAGCCAGTGAAAGGAGAGGATTCCACGTGGGAATACACTCTCAGAAGAGCCAGATCCTGGATTTCCCCCCCATTTTCCATAGCAATTGGGGGTTGTTTAATAAAATCCATGAACTTCGATGCCTCTGGTTTGTTTTTCCTCCAGCTCTGCCTGCTGGGGATCTCCCCCATCCCAGCCACAGCCTGGCGTTTTAGGAATTCCCCGAACTCTTCCCACGTCTCAGGAAATCCCTGTCTTCCACAGGGGGTCTCCCCAGGTTCCGGGGAGCTGTGGAGACGGGAGCTCGGGAGGTTCAGAGCTGAACGTGGGGACAGAATTTGCTGTTCCTGTCATCCCCACCATGGGGACGGGTGTGCACCTGGTTAAACACCCCAAAATCCCTGCGGAGCCTCCTTTTCCTGTAGCTGAGCGTGTCCCTTTGGAATCCTGCGGGAGAAATGCACAAGGACAGGCGTTCAGGCGTTCCCTCCGGCATGTTCATCCCGTCCCAGGGCAGAGATCAGACCCTGGGTACCCCGGTCCCCATTCCCCGGTTCCCAGGGGAGGCGTCCCACACCCGCAGCTCACATCGCCCCCAAAACCAGCAGCAGCACACACGGAACCGCTGTTGTGNCTCAGGGACTGAATCCCCCTGTCCTGCTGGAAAGGCAGGGAGGACAAGAGGAGCTGGTGACAGCCCTGGGCAGCTCTGCATGGGGACACAATCCTTCCCACCCCCAGAGCGTTCCCTCCTCATCCTCACTCACCCTCAGGCCAGGCTGGTTTTTCAGTGCCTTTATTAGAATTCAAAGAGGTTTTTTTGTATTTTTTCCCCTTTTTGGGAGTGGGTGCGCAGCAGGAGGGAGGCAGGGAATGCAGGAGAGGATGAGGATGGTGTGTGGGATATCCCAATCCCCTGATGGGCACAGGAACTGACCTAAAGGCAGGAGCAGGCTGGGGTGCTGGTGTCACTGGTGGTTTTCCATCCAGCTGTGGGGCTGTAATTCCTAAACTCACTGTCAGTCGTGGTTCCAGGATGATCCCATCCTGGCTCTAGGGGTGACACTGGGCAGCTGTTCCTCACCTCTTCCATCGCCCAACCAAAACCCTGAGCTGCTGCTTGTCCCCTGGCCCGACCAGGGCTTTGTCCCTGCTGTGTCCCCTCAATCCCAAATCCCTGCTGTCAAGATCCCGGCTTGGCTGCCAGAAAGGCTCCCTGGTCCCCATGGAGAGCTGCTCTTCTGCTCATCCCAAAAATCAGGGTGAAACTGAGGATGCTGGGTGTCCCTCCCACTCCCTGGGCTCTTCTCTGCCTCATTCCCAAGGGTTGAACTCCAATTCCTGAGGGTTTTGCACCATTTCTCCAACTGGGCCGGGCCCAGGGGACCTGTGCATGTTGGAAAGGGGTAGAAATCCTGCAAAGGTTTTCATCCTCCCTCATCTTTTACCCACCTCTTGAGTATCCCTGTGGTGCCCTCTGGTGCCAAAAATGCCCTTAAAAAGCCTCTGCATTGTGGGGTTCACCCAGCCAAAAAAGATCCAGCCACTTCCCCCCATTTAAATTAAAAGAATTAAACTTTCCCCTTCTCCCAAACCCGGAATTTCTGCAGCCAGCTCCCTGTGGAGATTTGGGCTGGGGAAGCTCTGCCAATGGCCCAGGGAACCTTTGCTGATGGGAATTGGGTGCTGTGGGGTTCTGGAGTGGTTTTTGGGGGCTCTGAAGCACGTGGGGGTTGTTTAATGCAGAAGCTGGGGCCGGGAGCAGGGCGTGTGTGGGAGTGTGTCCCTCTGGGAAGGCTGAGGGCGCTCAGGGCAGGGTCCAAGGCAGGGCTGGGGAGGGAAGGGGGGCCGTGGCTCCGTTTGGCAGCCACTAAAACCAGCAGGGCATCCACATGAAGGAGCCCAGGGCGGCGCCGG